TGGTTTATATACACAATGGAGTACTACGTGGCAATGAGAAAGAATGAAATACGGCCCTTTGTAGCAACGTGGATGGAACTGGAGAGCGTGATGCTAAGTGAAATAAGCCATACAGAGAAAAGACAGATACCATATGTGTTTACTCTTATGTGGATCCTGAGAAACTTAAGAGAAACCCATGGGGGAGGGGAAGGAAAAAAAAAGGAGAGAGAGAGGTTAGAGTGGGAGAGAGCCAAAGTATAAGAGACTCTTAAAAACTGAGAACAAACTGAGCGTTGATGGGAGGGAGGGGAGGGGAGGTGATGGGCATTGAAGAGGGCATCTTTTGAGATGAGCACTGGGTGTTGTATGGAAACCAATTTGACAATAAATTTCATATATTAAAAAAAAAGAATATTGATGCAAAATTTCTCAAAATGTTATCTTACAGAATTTGGTAATATATAACAAAACTAACTATGCATTTACCTTTGACCCAGTAATTCTGTTTTTTTTTTTTCAGAAATTTACTCTAAAGACATACCCCCAACAATATGGAAAATACATAAATGTTCATAAATATATTTATTGAAAAAAACATGGCATATCTGCACAATGAAGTATTGTACTGTGTAGCTATAAAAAAGAATGAGCATGATCTTTGTGAACTACTATGGGGTGCTTTCTAGGGTATATTGTTAAGTGAAAAAAAAAAGTTCAAAGAACACACACACTTTTGTGTAAGAAAGGATGAATACGAATATATACATGTAACTGCTTACTTTTTATAAAAAGAAACATAAGAAAGAATAAAACAGATTCTAGAGTGATTGGTGGCCCCCAGAAGGTAGGTGGGAAGAGGGAAGAGGATTGGGATGGGGGTGAAAGTAACACTTTTCTGAGTACACCAATTTGTATCATTTTGACTTTTGAAACTACATTAATGTTTTATCTGTTCAAAAAGATTAGTAAAGTCAGCAGTAACAAAGGGGAAAAAACTAAAGGACAAACAGAAATAAATGAACTTAACTGCATTTCAAATGAAAACTCTAACCAAACTAAAGAGGGGAAAAAAGGATTAACCCAATTAACTTTTGAACATAATACTTATACTATATGAAACTAAATGAAACACTGTGTTTGTCAGTTTAAGACAAAGATGGCTATAAACAAATATGGAATTCTAGTTTGAAATGTTTCTATTTTTTGAAATGGTATGGATTAGCAATTCTGAAACTACTTCCTGTGTACTGTGGGTTGGACAAATATATTGAAGGTAACAAGAGCCAGATTTCTCACTGTCAAAGTAGAGAGTTATAAATATGGAAAGGGGGAAGACTAGAATGAATTGTTATGCTAACATGCATTGGGGATATCAGTGGAACTATGCTTTAACATATGAATTTAAATGCATGTACATATATGTATATGTATACATATACATACACATATGTATGTATGTGTATATATATACACATATGTACATGTATATACACATATACATGTATACATATTTTGGCTTAGTCAACTGAAAGGGCCCAAAGCAAGGGCACCCGGATCAATGAACACACCTAGCATCCAGATCTTGGTTTCTAAATACCATTCTCCACTAAAAGGACCTAGGGATCTAGGGCTCATTGCTGTGCCAGGAAACAAGGAAATACTCAAAACAAAATGGTAGGAACATATCAAAAAGACATAAGAGCCAGCTTTAGCATCAAAATAAATAGTATTAACAGAATATTCATTGAGTAAAATAAGTATATATGAGTGCATCCTGATATAAATTAATAAATGAATGAATGAGAAAGGAAAGCTTTCCCTTAGACTACC